GCTAAGAGGTAAATTATGGTATTACTTGTATTGTGTAGCAAATTCACTTAATTATTCAATAAATCCCAGAGGACATTTATTCTTAATTATTCTTGGTATACTTAGTTTGATAATTATGTTTTACTTTTCCACTTAAGAAATTTAATAAATTTAAGATATATACATTGGATAACAAATGTATGTTTTATTTAATTATTACTCATAATCATCACCAGTTCAACACGAGGCTAATCCGGTCCTATAAATCACAACGCAATGCTAAATAGTTAGGTTAGATTTTAGGTAAATTTTAATTTGTGTGAGGTATGTTCTTAAAAAGCACCTTAACACTTGAAAACACAAATATAATTATAATAGTTGTTGTTTTCTCCATTGAAGATTGAGATTAGAATCTTCCCAATCTGGAATAAATAAGGCTGTTTTTTGCAGACATTCTGCAGCTAAACGAAAGAAAGAAATCTATTTTAATAAATTGAGGTATTTTATATTTAGTTCAGCATACATAAGAAAAAAATATGTGCATTAAATTTTCGTGATGGTATGTCATCATACTGCTAGAATTAATTTCAAGATTATGCCAGAGAAAATTTCCTGAAATTTAGAAATATTATTTACTAATAATAATAAATTTAGAGGGAAGAAGCATCATTAAATATACGAATAACATAAAAATAAAGATAATTACTTAAAAATTGAATTAGAATAATCAACGATATTTTAGCAAATATAGTTATATTACATGGTTAGCCTAGATGACAGATTACTAATTTTTATTTTACTGCAAAATGGCAAGGTATTTATTAAAAAGAAAAGTTTAAAAAGATTTTGCGGTAAAATTCTAGTATACGGTAAGGCTTTGGCACGATTCTGAAAATTGTGTCGCCAAGACCAAAATGACCCGTTTACTACTGCGCATCATCATGTCGCCAAATCCATACATGGAGATTATTTAACCAAAAACGTCTATGCAAAGAATCTCTAATTCTTTGGTCTATGTAAAGAGAAAATTTTTCCATACAAGTAAAATGCTATTACGCCTCTAGAATGCGGAGGAAATTTTACCAAGGGATTTGGCGACGGAACCTGGCGGCCAGAATTTCCCTCTCCGCGATATGTACCGGAAATTGAGAAACGTGTTAAGAAGAAAACTTTCTTTGACAAAAAGAAAGCTACGGAAATCCGTTTTTAAATTATTGCGAAAAATCCAAGAAGAAACGTTTTATCAAAGGACGTTTCTTCTTGGATTTTTCGCAATAATTTTAAAAACGGATTTTCGTAGTTCCCCCCCCTGAAAATTACTAACCTATGAATTAATTTACTTGCGCCAAAAAATATTTTCTTTTAATTTAGAGTTTAACTACTTGTGCTAAGACTAAACTTCACGGTTGCGGTGCTGTGCGCTACAATATAGCAAGTGGTAAAGTGTCTCATTTACGCCGCTCCGCATCTGCTAGTGCAATCCAGAGCTGTAACTCGAGAAATAAACAATCTCGTTGTTAGGCGACGTGTGCACCATGTTATTTTCATTTTTGCGATAAATGCTTATCGACGTGGTGTTCACGTCGCTCGCAGTTTGAAACAAAAACATCTCGACGTGCGTGGCACGTCTTTTTAGCGCAAGTGATTAAAGAAATTTTAAAGGATATTCATTTAATGAACTCTTGATAACGTGACCTTCGAACTTCGACACCGGTTTCCAGCTTTGGCGGCAGATATATCACGCATGCACAGCTGTTCCCCTCTATGATGGAACGGAGCCACGTCTGTGCAGAGAGGTTTTCCTTCTTTACAATACATATTCTTTGATTCTAACCTCCATGGTACCGTATACTAAGATTAAACCCATTTTGTTTTATACGAGAACAGGTACTTTCTTTAGTTCCTGCACTGCACATGTGATTCTCGAGAATACTGGAAACCAAACCATTGCAGGAAACTTGCTTTGCGTTTCTATAAGGCAATCAAATTGGAGCTGCGAAAATTGGCTCTATGCCAGCAGACACTCACGTGATAGGCAATTCGCCAAAAAAGTTATCTCTTCCGACGTCGGCGCAAAAATCGCTTTTTTTGGCGGGATCATTGTATGAACTTCCCTGACTTTTCCAGATTTTGACAAAAATACTTAAATTCCCTGACTTTTCCCTGAATTTTTTGGTTAATTTTCGAATTCCCTGACTTTTCCCGGTTTTCCAGGTAGCGTGGCAACCCTGAACACCATGCAGTAAATAACTTAACAATTGTATTAAACAATTTTAAATTGCTTAATACAAGACTGTCATTTAAAGAACTGTAATGCTCGTCTCCAGACTGTTGGTTCCATCTTGCAAGAAAATTGAATTATTTCTGCTAAGCATAACATCTAAAGTGAATTATCAAAATGCATGAAATACAAAACGTTTACTTCAAACATGTTTCTCACTCTGCTCATTCATCTTCCATTTGACCGAATCAGGAACTCAAAAGTTTTTGAAGTTGTGGGCATTGCTTTATGTGGTTGTCTCTTTGTAAAGAACAAATCCAAAGTATGGATTGTCATTTACACATGCACTGAGTATCCAGTCATAACTTGAACTAATTTGTCAACAGAAGGTTTCATCCATTACCTTGTGGAGATATCTAAAAATGATGATCTAGTCATCCAGTTGGTGAACTGTATGAATATTTTCAGAACTCAATTTTAGGACTTTAATGTTTTTATTATTTGAAATTTTCTTAAGATACTATTTCGTATTTTATTACATTATTTCTGAGTAATGACGTATATATAATTTTAGTGTTTAATTGGCAGTATGTTATGCATTCATTTTGAAGTGTTCCTTTCCCTCACTAGATGGCACCAGAGGTTTCACTGAGAAAATATTTAAACCTTGTTTTGTTGTTGTAATAGACAGTGAGTTTTCTGTTCCGGTTCGTGCCAGTATGGATGAGCAGTTGATTCTTACAGCCATTTAAGGAAAAGAGGCTGTATAAGAAATAGGATTTAAATATTTGTTTTTCCTTTTCAATGTTTAATGTGAGTCAAAATGTCTTGTCAAGAAATAAATTTCCATGAAGAAGATTCTTCTTCCCAACTGAGACATCATGTTTACACTTCCTGATGTACCAAAAAAGATAAATGAAGTTTTTTCTTATTTTTAAACCAGATTAATAAGTATAACCTGCATACATCAGTGAATGCTGACAAATTCAATAACAGCAGTTCATTAATTACTTTATAAGGTATTTCTCCCACCTTCTTGGCATGCCTTTGTGGTGTGGTGGTCTGCACACTGAGCCGGTATACTAGAGGTCTGCAGTTCAATTCCCGGCAAAGGCGTTGTTAATTTTTCACCCTTTTCTGCTTCCAAAAATATACCTTATGTCTCTACAGTGGTGCCTGAACTAAAAGGGTGTTGGATGATGATTCTCCTCACCCAGGATTTGGCAATTGGGCACCCTAAAAACCCAGTTGCCCTGTAAAAGGGGGAGTATATAAGGTATTTCTCCCACCTTCTTGGCATGACTTTGTGTTATGGTGGTCTGCACACTGGGCCGGTATTTCAGAGGTCTGCAGTTCGATTTGCGGCGAAGGCGTTGTTAATTTTTCATCTTTTCTGCTTCCAAAAATATACCTAATGTTTCTACAACTTAATAAAGAGATTAAATAACTATTTTTACAAAAATTATCTAAAATTTTACATTACTAACAATGAAAGTGTAAGGTGCTCCTAATAAATATTTACCAGGGATGGCCAAACTTCAAAACGATGGGAGCCTCATGATAGGTTTTATGAAAGTTCGAGAGCCACAAGTCCAAATTTATACTAATTAAAAAATAATGAGACAAGTATTGAATATAAAGAGACTTTTGAAGTGAATTAATGAATACGTGATTAACATGATTACAAATAAATATGAATAAATATATCTTATATCTACTATTTTGTGTTTAGAAAAGTTTAGTCCCAAGAAAATAAAAATTTCTAAAACTTATACTGGGCAATTGAGCATTTTTTTCAGGTCCAGAAACCGATTATTTTCTTCTGATTTCCTTTATATTCATCATTTATAATTAAGGATGTTTTATTCTAGTCGAAACAAAATGAAGCAGAAGCATATTCATTGGTTTACAGTTACATAAAAAAATAACTCATGAGCAGAATTTTATAAAGGATAAATTAAATTATACATGTCAGCGCGCATTGCAGAGAAACTACTATTTGAGAAAGAATATTTACTTAAAATTAGGCTATTAAGTTCTTTAGGCTTTTGCTTAAATATAAATTTTGTTTCTCCGCACAATTAACATAAGGTCCGAAATACTGAGATTATTCGTATCTTTGGATGCTAACCTAAGAAATTATTAATCATTTTCCCCCAAAACTTTGGGAAAACTACTTTTACTGATGCCCAGAATAGAAGCATTTAAAAAAAAAAAAAAAAAAAAAAAAAAAAAAAAAAAAAGAAAAGAAAGAAAAAAAAAAAGAAAGAAAGAAAGAAAGATTGCAATTTCAGTTGTATTTGAATAATTAGTATCTCTCATGATGGCTTTAAATGATAGTACTTCAGCGTGGCAACGAATGGAATCAATGAGAATACTTTAGTAATCAGTACACTGCTCATCATTGAAAATATCTCTCAAATCATTCCGATAATTTTAGATTACCAATTGTTGTTTTGCTAATATATTTTTTCATATTTTATTAGAAAATATTTTATTTAAAAGTAAATAGGGTCATTCTGAATATTTGTTGCAAGTAAAAAAAAAAAAAAAAAAAAAAAAAAAACACTTCACATATATTGTTTTGCAGGAAAAAGTGAAATTGTTTAAATATCATTCTTCCAAAGTAACTATTAGATTTTAAGAGTCCCACCCCAACAAAATTAATAAACTTTTAATAACTGAAAATAACAGTTTTTAATCTTTTGGAGACTAATCATAAATTATCATCTCAGTTTAATAACAAATTTTACTTTTCTTCAAATAAAAATACACCATGACACAGGGAACAAATAAATACCTTCAAATCTGCAAGCAGCAACCACTTGTTGGTGTATCCTGAGTAGTGTTGTCTCCTCAGATCCAGTTCTCATAAATTCTGAAAGTATACCTCGGAAGAACAGTTTTGCAATATTAGAAGATGACCTGAAAATATAACAGAATTTGTAACTCGCATCTAAAGATAAAGAAAAAGCATAAGTTCCAAGAATAACAATGGAAAAGTAACAATAATTTCATTTCTAAGATTCCATACTCAAAAGATGAATACAAAATCAGTAAGTTTCTCTCTCCGTCTCTCTAATTCAAGATTTTTCAGTCATTCATAACATGCAAAATCATTCATGAATGAGTTACTGATACACTAAACTTAGCGTCTTTTACAATCAAGAAATTTACTATTTGAATAGTGCAACTGCTCTTGAATTTCAAACGAAAAGGAAAAAATCACACAAAAAGCTGGACACAAATTTGAGTACTTTAATAAAAATTTACAAAAGAAATTTAAATTCTTTATTTACAAAAGAAATTAAACTTTAATTAAATTAAAGCATACAATAATTTATTATACTTAACAGACAAACTAAAACTCAAAGTTTTATTAAATAATATACCTTATAGCTAAAACAAGAGGTGATGAAAACATCTGTTGAAGAGCAATATCCACATGCTCCATTCCAATAAGAACTTTGCATTTTTTCTTAGGTGAAGACTTATTAGAAGTCACAACCTCTGTAGCAAACCTACAGATGTCCAAGGCTCTTCTAGCATCACCTGATATTGCAGCAACCTGAAAAAACAATAAAACAGTAAACTTAGAATGAAATATCAAATTATAAGCATTTTAGGTAAATGAACTAAATTCATAGTTTGATTTCCAAAAACGCAAAAAGAATAACTAATTTCAATTTTTTTTTTCTTTTGAGCTTATTAAAGATAGCAATTTTTTTCAAAGATTTTATTGGTTTATTTAAATAAGACAAATTATTTAAGTTATCTCTCTAGCTCAGGCACGTCAAATTGTCTCATTTTCCTGCAGCCCTTGGTTCACAATACGAAAATAATAAAAAGTATTTAAGTATTATATATTAATAAAAATTGGAATTCCACTCAATATTGAGGCACATACACAACCTTAGCGTGAAAAAGAACTTTTCAGACAATCTTTATACAAAAATGCCAGCCCCTTTACAAATGGAATTAACAGAAAATCAAAGGAGCAGGTCCCTACCAAGATCTAGATAAGCAGTCATGAAACTGACCTCTGTTCTGAAAACTGCTAGTACAAACAGCATGTTTCCAGACATCCAAAAGCTGGCTGTAACAAAAAGATGCTAAAAAAAAAACTTTGAATATTCATCTGCTAGTATGATTTATTTATGTTCCTTCTAATTTTAAAAGAATGTACATTATTAGATGAAATTTTATACATTTATTCATTTTGTTAAAGATTAAAAATTTTGAATTTTTTATTTATATTTTAAATTGTAGAAATATATTTATATTCATTTTATGCAATGCATTGCTCAAATTAAACTTTAAATATTAATTTAGCTTGAATTTTCTTTCTTTTCTTCTGGGGCTGCATATGTAAGCAAAACGTGAAAATGGGCCTTTAGCAGAGTTGTGTTTTAGTTTAATTACAAGCATATTATTTTAGAAAATAATTTCTCAGCGATATTATTTTTAAAAATAAATACAGAAATTGATGGTACAGTCAAAAGTCATTAATCCGAACTCGTCGGGACTTCGGCGATTCCGGATTATCGATTTTTCCGGATTATAGATCATCAGTTTAAACCTCGTAAGATGGCATGCAGAAATTCTAAAATTAAAAATATGAAACCGTAATTTATGAAATAAAGAACAATTATGATCTAAAGAGTATCAAAATTCAAAAAAAAAAAAAAAAAAAAACTTAATATTTATTTGTTTACTTTATTAAACATTTCTCTCAATGTAAGTTGTTTAAGTTGCTTCATTTTATGTGATAATACTTTCTCTTCAATTCTATAAAAAGACATAATTTCTTGTTCAGTTACAAAGTTCCGCTGTTCAAGTCCCGTTAATTGCTGTGCCGAGAATACCGACTAACTTGTCAATCGAAATTTTTTCGTTTTCACTAACCTGTCTGTCACATTCTTCATGTCTTTATCCATTTTTTGCAGCAATTCCACTTTTTGTTTGTTGGACATCGAAACATACTTTCGTTTTGTAGATCCTTTGGAAGTTGCAGCATCGGAAATTCTATTTGACATAATCGAAAGTTCAAGTTTACTTTTATAAAATTGCTCTTACAGTCTGCAAAAAATAATAAGCGGGATCCAATTCGAAGATTAAGGAACAACGCAATCATTAACATTAACTGAAATAGATAATTAGATAATTTTAGCTTACACCCATATACCCCGTCCGTTATACATTAAACGCGCAGGCGAAAACGTATTCTGCACTTGCGCACACACATATGCGCAGTAGTCAAGGTCTTACGCGCACGCGTAAAACACCTGTGCGCATGTGCCAACGCGGCGCATGCGCAGAAAGTTTTTAGCTTTGAGGTCCGGATTATAGATCATTCCGAATTATGGGTGTCCGAATTAACGACTTTTGACTGTATTTCAGTTTATAGATGTTATGTAGAAAAAAAGAAAAAATTATCTTTTACACAGTAAAATAATTCGTAATAATTGTACACTACAAAATAATACATAACAATTGTTATGTATTATTTTTGTCATGTATTATTTTGTTTATATGTACAATTATTACATACTTGTTACATACATTGCTTGTTTATACAATTATTACATACATTACTTGTTTGTACAATTATTACATATTATTTTACTGTGTAAAAGATAATTTCTTTTTTTTCTATGTAACATAGAAATGAGCAATCACTTCAACGCACTAAAAATCAAACTGTAATATTTTAACGTTTTTACATAAAAACGCATATTTAATTTTTTTAAACAGAAAAATTACTTCATTTTAATCTTTTGCTGTAAACGTAATTTCCTCTATAATCCATCACATTTAAATTTACAACAAATAAATTTCATTGGATGATTCTTCTCCTAATTCACATGTGCCACACAATAATACATAGAGAATAATCAAATTATAAAACATTCTTCTTATTACACAGATTCCTTTATATGTATTCCCATACCACATATAAACAAGAAAGCCAAGGGTGGTTGAAAGAACTATTAAAAAATATAATGCAGTATCGGAAATTATATTTGACAATTTATTTTATTACACGGTGGACATGCGGCCCATGCTGTTCTGACCTTCCTCCATACAGAAGGGTGTTCAACTGTTGCCCAGTGCTGGCCCAGGCCACAGTTGAACACCAGACATCTCACCCATTGAGAACATTTGATCATGGGTTGCCAAAAGACTGGTACACCACCACTTGCTAATCACTACCATTCTGACACAAAGCCCAACTCCAGCACACAGCTAAAATGGCCTTCAGAATAAAGAACCCATATTTCTCGTCGAAGCACAGTTTGACTCAATGCCCAGCTAGATCACAGTGGTTTTCGTGGCCACAGGTGGAAGTTTTGTGTATTGAATTCTGCATGCTGTGTACCTCAAACCACCTAATCACGTCTATCGCCCATGTCTCTTAATCATGTCTTTCTCTCATATTATATTAGATATGTACAATAAATAAGATTCTGCTATTTGATTTACTGCCTTGTGCAGCAATTTCAGTGGTCAAAGTATATTTGCTAGACAGTCATTATACTTTCACCAATGGTAGAATCATATAACATAATGCAATTTGCAATCAGATTTCACATGTTCTAAAAAAAATATCATATCTAACACTCATCAAGAAAACTAGTTTGCATTTACTAAAATACAAAATTTAATATTTATTATTGCAAGTATTTGTCCACGGTCACAATTAACAACAAAGACTATTTTACATGACAGCAAAATAATTTGATTCTAAGATAATGAAAAAGACCTTTTTATTAATATTAATTAATTACATTATCTAAAAAAGTTTGAATCATTATGGTTCAAACAAATCAGAACACACGATATTTGCAAAAAGCATTTTATTATAAAATATCTTGAAATTAATAAAGAAAGGGTACTTCTTTGATTATCCATCCAACCCTATTGCAAAGTTGTCTATCACTGGCAACCGATTTTCTGCCAACCTCAGATGTGAAAAACGTAACTATTTTTAAAAATGATAATACACTAAAAATGATATAAAACAGAAGCAAATTAAACAGTAGTAAAAAATGCAAGAAACATTCATAATGAAAAACTGAAAATTATGTAAAAAATTAACTAAATTAAAATTTAAAAAACATAATAAAATAATTACAATTCCTCTAATCCACTTTTCTTCTGATTACACATTGACCTGTTTTAACTTAAAAAACTTAAAAAAAAAAAAAAAAAAAAAAAAAAAAGAGAGAGAGAGAGAGAGAGAGAGAATTGCACAAATTTGGAAAAAGATAGTATCAAGACGACCTAAGGATAACTAATAAACTATTTTTGAGTAGCAAGATTTCTGTAATAATGTTACATTGGGAGATAAATAAAAGCTAGCCAGAAATAAGTCCAGACAATGTTTACAATTTTAAAGCCGCTGATACTGTCTAGCTGCTTTTAATAATTTTTTTAGAATAATTTTTACAGTTTCATTATGATTTTTTTTTTTTTTTTTTTTTTTCATTTGTGGAAAAAGTCCACAGTGTCTATTATGATTTGTTACAAGAGAAAAACAAAACTCCACACACTAATAACAACAAGCAGAAGCCATAAACATGACCCTTGAATTTCAAAACTATGCACATTCCACCATTCATGGGTTGCCAGATAAATACATTTATGTAAAATTCCAGGTTGTCCACTTTGGCAACATAGCCTACTGATTCTACTCATGGGTTGGATAGGTAATTGGAGAATACCAAAGAATGCTTAAAAGATTAAAACACTTATCAAAAGTGAAAAAATCAAAACAAGTATAGACATAATATACAGTACTTACTTTACGTGCAACTAATTGAACAGCATCAGGATCAAAAGCCTGAAGTTCTTGGATACGGCTCATAATTATTTCTTGTAACTGCTTGAAAGTATACGGTTGAAATGTTTTTCTAGTCAGACCCTATGAAAGATTATCAAACTTCAAATTATCTAGCAAATATTTTACTGTGATCTCAACTTTTCCTCTACAATTTTAAAATTTACATAGCTTGTTTCATATTACAACTACCATTAACACAAATTAAATATAAAAACATTTTATTAAATTTTCCATTTTCTTGTTTTTAAAATAGCGAAATTTAGAACTCTGCATTGATTTTTAATATGCAACACACTTGCTTTCTTGTAAATCTAACTTATGAACTACACACTTTTATAAACTTGAATTTTTAGATATGAAAAGTTAATGGCATTTTCTTTTATAAAATTTTGATTTTAAAAACTTAATTAAGGTTCCAGTGAACTTGTAATATCAAGAGTTCATTAAATATTTATTAAATTCCTAACCTACTACTTATCTATTACTACAAAATTAAGCCCACCAGTGAATGAGTAGTTACAACCACTGAAGACTACTGGTAGTACGATATGGTTTGCCTTTGGACCTAGGCAAACAGGCTGGCTGCATGGTCCATTTTCACAGTTTTCTGCATGTGTAATATGAATATGAGCCACTTTCTCTCAAAAAGTTCTCCATGAATGCATTCTTTCTCTTAAACCTCCTATCATACAAATGGACCTCGTGGTTTCACCATATACAAAATAACCTCACATGGCCTGTTACAAAATTAAAACTTACTGTGCACAGAAATGAAAAAAATTCTCTACTGTATTTTACACCTGAAAAAAATATACAGTAATTCAAAATGATATGCAGCATTTTAACCTGCTAGAATAAAGTCAGTTATAAACAAACACTAACCAGAACAAATTTAAAAGAGAAAAGGCAACTCAAATATTTTTATTTTATGATTTAAGTGTTCAATATGACCTCCTTGAGTCAACACAGAAAATGTCCAGATGATAGTCCATTTTTTCCCACAGTTGCTTGAGCATGTCTGGTGTTACTAAGTTCAGAGCAATACTATGCGTGTCCATAGTCATACCAAGTTGTGTGAAAGTGGTGACACATCCACTTGGGGTGTCACACGGAGTCATATCCAATGACCTGGAGTACCAAGGAAACATCATTTTGTTATTTGTATCGAACAATTAGGAATTAAATTGTTGAGGAATTCATGCCCTTCCAGCTTTCAGTGTGGAAATACACCATCCTGCTGAGAGATGAAATTATTCAAGTCTTCTTGTAATTGCAGGAAAAGCCAGATCTGTAACATATCAAGATATGAGTTGCTTTTCACTGTGTTTTCCCCCCAAAAGATTGATCCATATAATTTGGTCTCCAAAGCTACACAAAATACATTCATTTCAGTTGAATCTCATTCATGCTCCCCAGTACATTGAGGGTTTTCTACCCCCTAGATTCCCACACTGTGCTAGTTAACTGATATAAAACATTGCCTCATCATTGATTACAAGGTAGGAAAAATACATTCTCATGTTCACATTTGTTATACATGTTCATGTAAAACTCCATTCATTGGCGTGTCTCTATGAAGGAAGCTTGAGTCATCTGCAATCTGCAAGATTTCGTTTGTAATCGTTTTCTCAAGATGTACCATAACATTGTCTGTGGAAGTCCCAGTTCATAACTTGCTTCATTAATTGATTTCTTGGGCCGTATAGAAATATTGTTCTTGTCTTTTCTACATTCTTGCTACTAACATGTGGCCTTCCAGTGCTTTGCATTTACAGACAGCCTGTTTCTTCAAATTGGTGATACCACTTTCGAATGCTTTTATCAATTAGACTACCTTTTCCAAAACATCTACGAAATGCACATTAAACCAAAAGATTTTACATACTGCAAGACACAAAATTACTTCTCTTCATGAGAGGCCATTTTTCTTTCTAGCAATCACAGCACCATCACATCTTCCATGCTCAATAACAGATCACGAATAAAAAGAAAATATTTGAGTTTTCCTTCCTTTAAAACCCATTCTGGCATGTCTACGTCTAAAAATGAATTTACTATAGTATCTTTTAAAATACCATGCATCATTTTGAATAAGACTGTACTACACACGTAAAAAACTGTATTTTGCTTGTATGCAACTCTTAATCCTGGTTATTTAACTCTATATAATGTGTTGTTTTTGTTAATGTTTTATCCACTCAAAACACAGCCAGCAAGAAAATGTTGTCATTATTTTTAAATAAATGAGTAAAAAACTTGTAAGAGTTCATAACTTCTTCAGTTAGAAAAATACTGAATGGACCTTTAAAAAAAAAAAATTTTTTTTTTTAATCACTACCATTTTCCTTACATTAAGTATTAGTTTTAATTCTCCCTAAAATAAAAATCACTTTATTCTTCAAATTATTAAATGTTACTTCCAGTTTTAAAAAAGAAATTACACTAAAAAACTAACAAATAGCACATGAAATAAAAATATTTTTTTTTCTAAGTATGGGGTGCTGAAACATTAAACAATAAAACATGTTCATTATGCAGGCAGCATGCATTCGTAAATTACACAAGAAAAATACGTGCAATTTACGAATGGCCTTTCGTATAAAAAACGTTCAAGTTGAACGTAAAAATATCATAAAAAGTGTTTAGTGGCAATTACTATTTATTTATGTATATTTTTAATTTTTACGTTATACTATACATAAATTTTACGTAAAATTTAGGTATATTTACGCGAGAGACTGCTGTTCATTCACAACTTTTACGTATAATATACGTAAATTTCAGGGATTTACGTATATTTATCGCATATACATAAATCTCAATTTTTTGCTTCACGTATGCGTACATATTTAGTAAAAATTTACGTAAATTTCTCCGATTTTTTACTGTATATAAATGTATATATATTAGGTAAAAATTAAGGTAGATATTCCCCATATTTTACGGTACAAAAACGTATATATTTGATAGAAATTAACGTATATATTTCCCGTATTTTACGGTACAAAACGTATATATCTGATAGTAATTGACCTAAATCTTCCCTATGTTTTCTTTGCATATGCGAATGACTGGTAAAAATTTAATCCGATGTCTTCTCCACTTTACTGTGTATAAATGCACATTTTTTGGTAAAAAATTTGCATAAATCTCCAGTTACCTTTTCACTGCATTTTTCGTAAAATGTACTTATTTTAATCTCATATTTTTTATATAAATCTATGCAAAAACTTTCTGTATGCTATGATTAAAAGGTAAAATGTCATTTTTATATCAAATTCTTACATATCTGCCTTTTAGTTATGTACAGCAATATGGAATATATATAACTGGAAAATTTAAATGCACTAGTAAATGCAAAAAAAAAAAAAAAATAAATTTCTATTCAAAAATTACATAACACTTAAAGGCTGAAAATCACTTTTAATATTTCATTTCAAAGCGACTACAAAATATGCAATAAATTTCGTAAACATCAATTCTATGTTTTAAATCAATTAATGCTATCATTCATTTACATTTTTGTTTACTAAATTCATTTCATAAATTTAAATTTAGTAAACAACTGTAGCAAACAGTTGTTTACTAAATAACACTTTAAATAAATTATTTGCTTTTCCGAAGGACATTTTCTTATGCCATGTAAATGAACGATAGCAGCATTAATTGATTTAAAAAACATAGAACTCAGGTTTACAAAATTTATTGCATATTTTGTAGTCACTTTGAAATGAAATATTAAAAGTGATTTTCAGCCTTTAGTGTTATGTAATTTTTGAATAGAAATTAATTTTTTTTTTTTTTTTTTTTTTTTCCCATTTAAATTTTCCAGTTATATATATTCCATATTGCTGTACATACCTAAAAGGTGGATATGTAAAAATTTGATATTAAATTAATTTTATCTTTTAATCATAATATGCAGAACATTTTTGCATAGATTTATATAAAAAATATGAGATTAAAATAAGCACATTTTACGAAAAATGCAGTAAATAGGTAATTGGAGATTTATGCAAATTTTTTACCAAAAATGTGCACTTATACACAGTAAAGAGGAGAAGACATCGGACTAAATTTTTACCAAAGTCATTCGCATATGCAAAGAAAACATAGGGAAGATTTAGGTCAATTATTATCAAATATATAAGTTTTTGTACCGTAAAATACGGGGAATATCTACGTTAATTTCTATCTAAAGTACAATATAGTTAATTACCAAATTCAGTAAACCATCATACATTTAGATTATTTGAATGAGTGTGCTAAATTTTAAAATTGTTAAATATAGACCAGGAAATTGTAGAAAACTTACCTTTTCCAATAGTTTACCAAGTTGACTTTGTTATTTTCCTTGAAGATGAATGTTTAATGTCACAAATATTTCATTCATATCTTCAGATAATACACAAATATATACATATTTATTTATTAAAATTCAGTTTATCCAAACATGTTAAAGAAAATATTAATTTGCATGCAAGTTAATCGAGTAACTTCTGTTTTAATTACACACATAATTATGATATGTAAAAATTTTACATTTATCAGTCAATCTTGCAATGTATTGTAATCTATTATTGTTGTCTTTCTCAGTTTAAAATCTTATAAATATATTAGATCAGTACTAAAAGTTCACCTCTACAAAAGAAATGCTTTATTGAGGTATTTTTAAAAAGTTCCCTTTTACAATGTAACTGTTAATTTCATAAATACGTTCATAAAATTATGCAAATTCAAAATTACCTAAATATGTTCTTTATTTTATCTTATATACCAGATAAAATTTTAAAAAGTTAATTTGTTTAGGAATATTGAATTTTTTAATATTTATCTCATGTGACTTTTTCTATAACATCATTATAAATGTACATGTTGATGTGGACATACCAATTATTTTTTTTCATCAAATAGCTTTATGGTATTAAATGATTTAAAAGGAGGCAACTGGACAAAAGAAAGCAATTAGAAGTTGGCTAATTTTTTATTAATTTGTTGTCAAATGCTGTGCATTTTAGATTATGCTCATATGATGACAATGAGTTATTTAAATTATAAAATTATTATGAACATATCCCACATAAATTAACAAGTATAAAAATTTCAAGT